GACATCTCAGCAGACAAAACTAGCCACACGTTCATGGAACCCTGCCATCCAAACAGTGACTCAGAGAATGTGGCTCCTACAGGGCTGCTGATTATCTCATAAGACGAGCTTATACGGGAAATTGTATGAAATCAGATATATTAATGTCAACTTAAAAACAGAAAAAGATATCACAAATCTTGCACAGATCTACCTCTGCTAGCGCAGGAAGGACAGAAGTAATTATTGTAATATATGTTGAAGGCTCGCCACCACATGGTAGATTTAAGTTGCTGTGAAGTTGGTAACAATAAGATTTTTTAAATCATTATTACAGCTAGTAGTAAAAGAAAACCCTTTCCTGTTATTGGCACTTCAGGTTGTCTAATACAGAAACATAAATTACAAAATGGATTACAATCCTAAATCACGTTGCCAAAAAGACTTTTATTACTTTATTCCAAATTATTGGGGGGGGGGAAGGCAAACACAATTTGGAGACTTTTACACCCATGAAAATAGACATAATTGCTTTGTTCAGATGCTGGGAAACCGAAAGGATAACAGAAACATTTTACTGATACCCTCAGTACAAAGTCTTCTTCTGCCGAAACAGTACTTTCTTACAAGAACTTCTCCTAGCAAACAGTGGTATGAGTCGTGCATTGCAACCTCCTCAGCTGTAATTCAGAGAATGCCCTTAATTTTGTAATTTGGAAGATAAGCTTGAATGTAGATGAAAATACAGAATCTGTGCTATAGAAAAGTTACAAGATCATGATAAAATGATTTCGCCAAAAAGACTTTTATTACTTTATTCCAAATTATTGGGGGGGGGGAAGGCAAACACAATTTGGAGACTTTTACACCCATGAAAATAGACATAATTGCTTTGTTCAGATGCTGGGAAATGCAAAGGAAAACTGGAACATAAAATTCAGAACACAAATTTATAACAGAAACATTTACTGATACTCCTCAGTACAAAGTCTTCTTCTGCCGAAACAGTACTTTCTTACAAGAACTTCTCCTAGCAAGTAACAGTGGTATGAGTCGTGCATTGCAACCTTTTCAGCTGTAATTCAGAGAATGCCCTTAATTTTGTAATTTGGAAGATAAGCTTGAATGTAGATGAAAATACAGAATCTGTGCTATAGAAAAGTTACAAGATCATGATAACATGATTTCAAAATTATGAGAGAATGTGAATTAAAGACTCACCGGGCAACATAAAGCTGTTTCCAGAACTGCAGTTTAGACACCTTTTTAACCATTATACAGTAATGTAAAGTGATGCTTTGAAATAATAACGGTGAGATTAGAAATGGTCTAAGCATGGAACAGCTCTATTCAGTCTGTGAGGAAAACAATTTTAAAATCTAATAAACCGGTGATCCTCAAACAAATGCAAGTCTCAGTAAACTTTCAATGTCAAAACCTTTGTGTTAGCTGTAGGCTATCAATGCAGTTTCTAGTAAAAAATGACCTCCTAACCAGGAATGTGGAATGCCATCAAGCCACTCTGGACACTCACTGAATTAGACTTTCTCACTTGCAAACTATGATTTTAATAAATGTCACTGTAGCTAGGGGTGAAAAGGAAAGAGGGACGGAAAATCAAGTAACGTATACAAACCATCCCCAGCAAGCAAGATCCTCTGCACAAGCAATAAAAATAATAACTTGGAGTCATCTTTTTTGGTAAGTGGCTCTTCTCTTCCTGTAGCTGCTCCCCGCACCCCCTGCGTTGACTCATAGGCATTAGGTTTTATGGCTGACTGCACACCCCAGCTTAGGTTGCTGGAAGGGTTGCTTCACAAAGCCACAGCACAGCCTAAAGTTGTTCTACCCATCACACATCCTGGCTGGCTGCCTTTTCTGCTAGCTAGTGTCCATTCACTCGTGACAGCACTTCTGCCAGTTGCCGTTTTCTTTTCACACTCCACAATGATTTCAGCTTCACCGTAGGAGCCCAGTGCCATACAGACCGGCACAGATCTCTGGACTATAGAACAGACTTCCTAAATAGACCTTAATCTTTCTTTTCTTCCTTGGCCATGAATTTCTTCTACCCAGAACTCCAAACTACAGTTTGGGCAATCATTTAGTCTGGGCACAGCTGTGTTGTCCTTCTCTTCAAAGCATAATTACAGCTTCCATTTTACTACATAGCCATTTTTTAACAGACATTGCACACTAGAATTCCACTGTTGTGGACCTGTGACTGATGTGACAGACTTCCTTAGCTGAATGCAAACCTGTTAGAGTCCCTTGTGCTTCTGCTACTGTTGCTGCTACAAGGATGTGCATTTTGCTACATACATTTTGAAGTTTTTTTTTTCTTTTGTTGTATGCCAAAATACAGTGTTGGGCAGGGGGAGGAAATCAATAATATAGCTGAGGACAGGTATTTGCACTGGCACCCACTTTCAGTCATAGGAATTTTAATGTTCACTTGAACAAGGAATACAGTCCCCAAAAGTCTGAAATAGGAAGACTCCACTGTAAATGCACAGGATAAATGAAACCTGTGTCACCCTGACCATTGGACCTTTTCATTCAGCTTCTCCTGCTCCCTACCAGATGCCAGAAGAGTGGCCAGCCTTCTGGGTTTCCAGTCCTATCCAGTTCGTGGGGGAAGGGAGGATCCTCTTCTCCTTTAGGCCTTGGGCTGTAAGACTTAAATCAGGAAAGATAGGTTCTCATCCTCTCACACCGTGGCAAGCTTAAGCACATTACAGCTTTCTTCCTTCACAGCTAAGATTGATATGGAGTGTATTCGTGAATAAAACCACCTCAGGGAAGAATTTGTTCTTCATCTACCAATATCCAAAATGGTTCTCAGAAAAGCAGCACAAACCAGATCATTTCCAATAAATGATACTTAAGTAATTCCAGTGAATGACCCCCAAAAAAGGTACACATGGAGGAACAAGCACTTAGTCGATTCCGGACTGGCACTAAAGTTAATTGTTTGGCCAAGGTCACTGGACAAACACCATTTAAAGTTAACTTGATTGGTCTTTTTCATTTGGGTGAGCAAGGGCACCAAAACCAATTTTGAGATCAGAACTGGTGTGGATACCAACTACCCTGGGGTGACTGTTTTGTCAGCACAGCAAGGGGCTTCTCAAATTATCAGACATTTTAATAGGAAAACATTGCAATAGCTACTTGTTTATGTTTATACCAAGACAGAAAACACTAACAATATACCACACATTCCAGCAACTCCATTATCCTGCTTTGCATATTTCTCATGCTGTCTCAAGGGTTTAAGAGTTTCTGTAGTAGTTCATCTGGGTTTGGCTGCACAGCTCATACAGAGCAGGAATATACTATTGGCAATAGAATAAATAAAGTTTTCTAATGAGTGTACTTGGTTTATGTTGTGTATACAGTTCTCCTCCATAGACCATTATAACTGTAGTCCTGGGCCTATCCTGGGCTCAATTCCCAAAACCCAGAGAACTGGTACTACATTTTCAGCGTATTTGCAGTAAAAAATAACAACCAAAAAGCAAACAATGGCAATTTCTCCAGAAACCCCTGGTTTACCAGTTATTGCTCTTCTAAGCCAGCTGTAAATCACAATTAATAAACATTTCTTTTAGTTTTCCATGAGCTGTCTCTAGGCACTGGTTTGTGTTACAGGTCCTAAACATAACTGCTACCATAAAACTCCCTCCCCTAATAACACAATTACATTGCTTTCCCAACATGAACTATGTCACCAAATATCACAAGCAATGACAAGCGCAAGCTTCTCATATGCACGACAGCTGCTAATTAGAAGAGCAGAATACATGTTCCTGTGTTTATATATCAAAACTACCGCTTCTCCTGCGTCCTTCTCAAAACACCAGTGTCCCAATGGCCCGCTCAGCTGATCCACACAGGGTGCTCCTTAGCTGATAGAGCTGTCCTTGAACTCAAGCACATCTTCTCACACGCCACGGGCAGCGACCTCCAAGTCTTCCCTGGCCTTTGCACTAGAATAAAGAGAAACTAACATGTCATTGGGCAGCATCATTCTCCGTACTCTGGACGGACAGGATGGTGACTGGGCCTCCTTTAGCTGTGATCCATGTCGGATGGCTTCATGGGCATCACGATGCCTGTGACCTACAGGTAGCTCCAGTGAGGGGTAAAAAAGGCTGTAATAACAAATGCTACAAATACAGGTTGGTCAGCCAGTTCATATCCACAGAAAAGCCTACTGAAGACTAAACTCAGTGAGGAAGTTGAGTATCTTAATTTCTTTATTAAAATTTGTTATTTTGCAGACAGTTTCTATGTATCTATTTACTTTCTCATACCCAGCCTGTGCAAGATCAGTTTTCTGAGGTTAAGAACACTTTTTGTTCATTGAAACATGAATTCAAAGAAACCTATTTTGAATTAAAAAGAATCATTACCTCTAGGATGGGCACTTAGATTCTTCTCTGCACTCCTAAACCAGAAACATAATTCACAGATGTTGTCTTAATTTACTTATTTCACAACTGATCACATGTAGCACATTGATGAAGTAGAGAACACCTGCAGAAGAACAGACATAGCCTGTCCCTCAGTCTTGCAGGCAGAAAAATCCAGAAGAGCTACTCCCTATATAGCTTTCAAAGTTTGAACCCACAGTTCAAGAAAATCTGATGCAACATTTCCTTGAGTTACCTGGAAAAACATGCTATGAACTTACCGATGCATACTGTCCCATCAGCTATACTTCAGAGGTGCGTCATGCAAAACCCCACTGTACAAGATACCAGCTTTCATTATAGGACCTGAGGGAGCACATCAGCCGGTGGATTTGGAGCACGGTACTGCACTGCAGCCCGCAGACAGGAAGTGCAACAGCCGATGACAGGTATTTGGACATCAAAACCAGAAGTCTGTTCCAAAAATATTTGCCTTACCTGTGTACCCACACATACATCTTTTGTGCCATGCTGAGTGACCCTTGTCCCTGTGTTTTCTAGCTATAAAACACCTCCGTGGAGGGGAGCGTGAACTCAGCTCACCCAGCACTGAGGCCACATTTCTCCAGCATGCAACTTTCGGCCTTTAGGCGCGACGTGGGCAACGCTCGTGCCAGGCATCGTCCCTGGCTGCCCGTCCTACTGTGGCCTTCACGCTGTGCTGCTTTAACGGCGGCCAGCACGCTACCTCGTCAGCAGCTTACCGATGGAATTGCATCAGCATGCTAATGGTGTGAGCGCCTCGCTCTGCTGGCCTTTCCTCCTCACGTCACACATCTGAAATTGTTCTTAGAAACCACCCGAGGCCCAGCCCTGCGCCACAGCAGGCACGGCGTGCAGGCAAGCGTGGTGCCAGTACGGCCACGCGCAGGACCGCGCAGCGGGTTATCGCGGGGGCTGTAGATGCCACGCTCGGCCCCCGCACGCGTGTACAAGCCCGGTGACGGGGCACTCTGAGGCGGCCCGGGGCTGACGGGGCCCGCTTGGGCCCGGCCACCGCACCGCAGACGACGGGCGCCGTGGCCGGGGGCGGCAGAGCGGGGCGGGGCTAACCGCCGGCGG